CCCTAAACCCTAAAGAGCCCTAAACAGGCGGGCCACAGGCAACTCTCTGCTCGCCGCTTCTGGAACTGCAGCTCTGCCTCTCCATCCGAAGCTCCAGGCCAGGCTCGGGCTCTTTAGGGCTCAGGTCGGGCCTTAATGTAGGAGGGGCCTTAATAATCATTAGAATAGGGCTTACGGTTTAGGGTTTAGGGCTTAGGGTTTAGGGTTTGGGGTTTTTGAGGGTTTAGGGTTTGGAATAATTACCTGTACTATTTTGGGGGTTCCTTGTTATAAGTATAGTATCATATACAAGCCTTATTCTAGTTATTAAGGCCCCTATATTATGTTGCGACACAAATTGAAGACCCCGATAGGGATTCCTGAACGTGGAAGCTGAACCCCGTATCTTGGGAGGATAGCCGGAACTTGAGGAAAAGTCATGGACTGTGGCTTCAGGACCCCGACAGAAAACTTTGACTGTGAACTCCTTCTGTTTGTGTGGTCAGTTCAGGTCCCAGAAGGCATCAAACCTAGATTTCCCACGTCCTGCGGCTTTCAAGAGCTTGAGTTGACGAGCACGAGAACTCAAGTCTTGGAGTACAATATAACAATGTCTATATAGGGCTCAGAGAGGGAAGACTCCTTAGGACGGCCAGCCGTAAGTAGCATACATGGAACATAAGTGCAAGACAGAACCCCAATACAAGTCTTATAGTACCAGGCGACCAGCATTGCCCATATCATGATTTTTTGCGCACGGCGAGCTGCTTGTTACAGCGGTACGCCCCAATGGTGGTTGAAATGGCGGCAAGGTATGTTATCTTATTGGAGGCTGCGTTGACATGTCTCTTCCCCAGCCCAATTTTCGTCCGTTCGGGTGGAGCTGATGGCACCCAGGAATGCTGTGTGGCTGCAAATCGGTCTATCGGCTGCATGGGAGTTTGAGGGCTGGTGCTTTGAAACCTAGTTCTTGGGTGTCCTGATTTCGAAGTTCGGGGTGATAGAACCAGGATTGCAGACATAAATTTTGTGCTCTTGTGGCTGGAGTTTAGGGCTCAGGAGTCGTGTCTTCGAACAAGTCTGTGGTAGATGGAGCAGATGAGATCGCCTTTCAATGTGGCCGAATTTTGAGGACCTTCTACAACCACTGCGGGGACCCCTCTACTTTTTTGCAAACTTGGCTGCGGAATTCCAGCCACACGTTCGGACCCCAGCACCCAAACCCAATCAAACTCCCGACTTCTAACAGCCCTTTTAGTAACCCTCGTTTATAGTAAATTCTATAGTAGTCTTTGCAGGTGGACTCTTGAGAGGAACCAAAAGCCTACGTAAAGACACGGCTGAAACGCGGTGGACTCGGGCTTAAGAGCTTCTGCGCCTGCTCCTTCGCCCGATTGTAGAGATCCTCACGTCTGTTTCGGTCAAGGGCACCAGGAACACAAGCCCTGAAGCTGAACCACGGAACCCCTCGCCCTGAACCCTCAGACCAAAACCCTGTGCGGTTAGACGCAGGGAAACGAAGAGATTCTACCGCAGGCGCCCACCCAAATACCAAGCTGTTTGGAGCGACCCAACCACATCCCGAAACCCCAGTCCGACATCTTCACTGATAACCACAACCCTCTCAAATTTCGTTCTCGCTTGTGAGCCTTTGCTTCTTTTCCCTTCAGCCTCCCGCAAGAAGAGGTTCTCGATTTTCACATCTACTCGTGGATGTGGGGAGTGTTCACGCTATGGTCCCAGGTCACACAGTAAACTTCAAATTGGACGTGAGACCTGATTCAGAAGACCTGTGCGAGAGCTGAGGCGCAAAACAGACCTAGGGCCTAGGGCTTTTCAGGCTGAACTCACACTCTTCAAGCCCAGACCCGGGACCCTAGCGCCGGAAAATCAACACATCTTGAACCCCGGACCTGTGAACTGCTGCCCTGAACTCTGGATCCCTCCATTTCATGCCGGGGCCCAAAGAACTACAATTGGATCAGGGGGTAGCTAACGTCATAAAGACTGCGGGGCTTCCAGCCGGAAAGGTGTCAAGAAGACTTGAGGCACTCTTGAGCTCTAAGCCGAGGAGCGCAAATGACGCCGATGAAGACGTTCATTATCAGCACCTCGTTGATAGCTGTCGCAAAGCGTGTGCTTTTCTCAGAGCCCAACGCTTGAAACCTGAAGGCCCCCACACCCCAAATCTGAAGATTCGAACACCTTAAGCACAAAGCCTTCACGGCCCCGGGCTCACACTACTAGTAAACCGGAGTTTGGCCCTGTTTCGGAATCCTGCAAGGGCACAATGACAACTTCAACAGGAGGCGATGTAGGGTTGTCCATGTTACAATAGGTTCAGGCATGGGCCCTAAACCCTAAACCCTAAACCCTAAACCCTCATGGAAGGTTGCAAGTCTTCTCACTTCAACTCGTCGGGATTGGCAGCCGCGAGGCTGTGAAGAACAGCACTGCTACCAGGACCAGGACCAACTCCTCGGAGCCAGGGAGTTGGCCGCGTTTTGGGAGTTAGATTGGGTTCAGGGGTGGGGAGGTAAGGGGCCTTCGAGTTTTGAGGAGAGACATGACCATGGAGTAGCCGAGAAATGTAACACCGAGGCAATGTGAGGCTGCAGTAAGTTAAGCCTGAAACGAACACACGGGCGTAGCACCAGGACAGGACGGTAGCCCCACAGCGTAGCCATGTAGTCCAGTACTGATGATATATGCCAGCTTGCCGGATGTAGACATAATCATGCCCAGCTGGTGCAATAGTGACGACCGCAAGTTCCCTCCTGGTGTCACGGTTGGCGTCGCGGCAGGGAGCTCAAAAGCATGCGCAGTAGGAAACATGACGGGCCCAAAGCAGGTTTGACTGCGAAGGCTTGGGGGTTTCTGGTTGAAGACTGCAGGGTTTCAAGATTTAGGGTTCAGTGCTGCCCCATGGAGAAGCTCTCGGCCCCCATTGGCAGGGCTAAGTATCGGTTCACAAGCAAGCAGCATGAATGTTCCCTTCCACGTGGAAGCCTCCCTAGCAATTCCGGGCTCCCTTCCGGCTGCCTGCATAACTAGCATCTGGGCTTTTCAAAGTTTCTCTCTCGCTCCAGTCGATTTGCCCTTCCGGGAACCTTGTGTTTTTTTCATGTTGATATCCTCCGGCATGCCTTCTTCTGATTACTGCAAGGCTTGCTGCACAGGCCCAACCCTAGGCGTGCACCCTCGAGCGTCTTAGCAGAGTCAGACCAACTCACCATACCTGAAGGCAGAATCCGAAGGCCCTCGCCCCGACAATATCACTGAATCGTGGGTCAATCTGGTGGCATGTTGCTGAGATGGGAAACCAGCATTGTGCAGTAATGCACTATAGCAATGCCACTGTTGCCGTGACGACGATGACGACTGCTGTTGCTGCTGCTGCTACTACTGCCACTACTACTACTACTACTACTACTACTACTACCACTACTACTAGCAGCACCTGACATACCGAAGCCCAGCGGCCAGTGCACTGACTCCTTCTGCCGTCTCCGGCAGAGCGGCAGTGATCCTGAGCCGCACATCCGCTTGTGGGTGTAAAGATCGGCTGTATGACAGATGTTGACAATGCTTTACTGTTTCGAGTAGCAATGATCCCCTTGCTTCGTGCTGTCACTGCAGCGACTTGTGTCTTTGTTTCTACATGAGCAACTTTCTGTGGTTCCCACGATTCGCGCCCAGTTCTGCTGTATACTAGCCCAGACCCGGCGCCTAGCAAATCCATGACCATTTCATTTTATGCAACTCCAAACCCCGGCATCAGTCCCAGACAAGCCGAGCTCATGCAGGCCAGCCTACCAGAAGTACTAGCATTAGTGCAAAAAATGCTGCTGATCGGTGTCATTGCTGATCCCTCTGCCACTCCTACTTGCTCCTAATTTTCTTGTTGTTATTGGCAAAATGACCACGAAGGATGACGTGCTACTACCGCCACCGTCCAAGTCCCCAACACCCTGCTTACTCCCCACAGATTCCGCTGCATCCCAACTCCTAACCTGGATGTCCAAGTGGCAGCACTGCGAAGGTGTCCGTGGACACGGAGGGCCAAAGTGCCTGGATGCTGGGTTTAATACTACTCTGAGGATTTCAATCAACTCGTGAGTTTTTTTGCTACACCATGAATCTAGAGACTAAAGCTGCTCCATGAGCACAGGCTCAGCATGCGCGCTACTCTGCTGAGTCACAAATTCCCAAAATATCCTAAAACCCTGAAGCCACAAGGCCCAAGGCGCCACGGCTGCAAACCCTCAAAGCCCCAAAGCTCCAAACCCAATACCCGAAGAGAGTATAACTCTAAATCCCCAACACTCTGCACGGCGAGGGCCTGGGCGGATCCTCGCACAACGTAGAAGGCGTGGGTGAAGGCTCCTCAGCTTTGGGGTGTTGTGAGTTTTGATCTGCGTGAATACCTGTCTAGCTTTCAGCGGATTAAACACGTGTTTCGCTCATGTCTAAGTTGCCAAAATTGAGGCTTCATCCAGGGATTTGGGGTCCAGGGGGTTGACACATGTTCAAGGTTGATGAAGTTTAAGTTTAAGGACTTCATTTCCACGGAGTGAAACGTAAATTGACCTCTAGTACTGCGCTGCGGTGCAATAATTACTACTGCTACTACTGCTACGACAACAACAACA